CTAAAGTTGCTTCACTTGTAGTTGAGTTTGCTGTCAAAATGAGCAAGTGCTTGCAAATGTCACTTGAATGATGCTTGGTGGAAAAGTCAGTTTGTGTTTCATTTAGCTATAGCTACTCCTGGGTCTAGTGTCAGCCCTGAAAAATACAGATTTTTTGAGCCAGGGCTTGATTAGGAGCTGCCATACCATGAAGCCTACAAACGTGGTGGTTTAAACCATGATTAACCAAGAGCAACAGGAAGAAAAAAAGAAAAAAATAAAAAAAAAGGTTGGGGGTGTGAATTAAACCCATCTATGAGCCTGAAAACAGAAATAAGTGTGAAGAAGGCTGGGTGGGAGGCTGACGGTGTGCTTCAGCACAGAGGGGTGCAGAGCAGATGCCGTGCTCACTTCTGCACCCAGAAATGAGCTGGAACACTCCGAGCTTTACTTGCCTTTGAGCAAATCATTCAGATTTTTGCTGGCCTTGCTCTTTAAGAGTTTTATGAGCATTTTACCCCTGAAGCGAATGGGACACTGAAAATGTGTGAAGCTGCTCATTTTTTTACCATAAACCTGAAGGAACCATAAACCATAAACCATTTTACCATAAACCTTTGCCAAACCCCTCCCGCTTTTTCTCTAGAAAATGCACAAATATTTCATAATCCAAGGCGTAACAAACCCAAATGTGTTAATTTAAGGTGAATCCTAACGGCTCTTTATTTTTATTTTATTACTTCGTTCGAGCAGGCAGACGCCTTCAAGTTCTTGTTTACCACCAGTGGAGGCTTGTACAACAGGAAGGAATGACTCAATTTAGCGGTGCTGGTGACGAGCAGAATGAAACATTTCGCTTTTGAAAGCAGTCATTGTAAGGCAGGGTAAGATAAGCCAGAGCCTCGAGTTCTCACAAATCTTTTGCTTATCTTTTTGCTTACGGCAGCAGGAGGCCAGACAAGTCGAACCCAAGGAGTTTAGGTAGCCTTGCTGTAGCCAACGTCAGCTGCGTTCTCATGAGTTTAAACGTGTGCTTCCCCACGTGCAGCCCCTTCCCTTTATTTTCCCCTTGTCCTTCAGCAGCAGCACTGATTTGCCCTGATCCCTACGCGCCCTGTGCATATCTCCCGAAGGAAATGAAGTGCTTCACTTACAGGTGGAAGCTTCATTTCGAGGCCACTTATCTCACTGGACATCCCAGTGACAACTGATGTTGATGCAGAAGCTCACTCTTCTGGCGATTAAAAGCCCACATTCCTAGCCTTGTTCCTCTTGAAGGACCTTATTCTCCTTATTCTCCTTATATTCATCCTCATTCTCCTTCTTCATCTATTTTTTATGCAGCTCTTCAGGCTTCCTGATGCAGTTTTCTCACTGAGAAATGCAATAACAGCTTCAAATGCTTTGCTTGCACGCCATATAACTATTTTTAAATACTATTCTTTAATAAGAGCTACCCAGATAATCCAAGAGAGCGTGGGTTCTGACAAAGGATTCTCTCACAGGTGTATACTGTGCGCTGTTTTTTTCCTATTCCTGTTGTTTTTTTTTTTTTCTGATAACCTGTACTGTTTTCTTTCCCATTCCCTTCAGAATATATACATAAAGATATGGCAGTTCTTCACCATGTCTGTTAGCTCTTGGGCCAAAGAGTTGATTCATGAAAGTGGGGAAAAAGATCTGCTGGGATAGCAATTTATTTTTTTTCACCTGAAAAACTCAGAGTCCTGTACACAACTCACTGTGATGGACGTGGTTATCCCAACAGCAGGTAAAGTGGCCAAGACTGAGCCTACCCAAACATCTCGCAATTTTGTCCTAAAGCAAAAGGATGGTTTGAGAAATCAGTACAATATTGCCCCCGGAATATAAAATGGATGTTATCGCATTCTTCCAGTCTGCAAATATTTTCCTTTCTGTGTCCTCTGACGGTGGTTATTGTTTAACCCTCCTTCTTCTCCCTGACATCAAGCAATTCCAGCAACAGGGCAGAAATCCTGGACCTGCATCCTGGAGAAAACCTCACAGCGGAGCCCAACAGCCGTCATGCAAAGCTCTGCCCCATCTGTGGGTCTCGAGGGAAATGCTGCTGTCCTCTGATGTGCATCGACCGTCCGGGAAGGCTGCTGCTCTTCGTCCTGTGCTGCCATCGCGGGGAGAGCAAGCTCCCGCAGAGGTGGGTGTGCAAAGTGCCACGGGTATTTTTAGAAGCCCTTGTTCTGCAGTTTTAGCAGAAGCATCACTTCCCTCTCAGCTAGGGTTACCGTGAAATGAGATAAATGTCTGAGCCCGAATTCAAGCATGGCACAGCCGACCGAATATCGCAAGTCTGTCTCAAGAGTTCCTGGTAGCGCCTTCCTCCTCCTCCTCCTCTGCGCTCAGCTTTGCAGTTTGCAGCGCGGCTTCTGGAGTTCTCCACCACAGCAAATCCCCTGCACGAGACTTGCACATCACAGCAGCAGCTGCATAAAATGCGCCCGCTGTTAAGTCACAGCATGGTTTTTGCAACAAATCGGGCCAAATCAAAAGCTCAGGTCTGAAAACTCAGATTTTCGTTATCTCTTGCTGTGTGAAATCCTCCCTTTTTAACCAGGCTGTTAGAGGCTGCCTAGGTCAGCATCTCTCTGCCTGGAATTAGAACAGCCTTGGAACACCAAGCTTCTCGACACTGGTTTTGCAAAACCAAGACCACTTCCCATCTGCTGCTCTGATTTCTCATGTTATCTTCGTTCAAAAGCCCTGGAACAAACTGAATTTACGAAATCAGCTAATTCTTGAGCAGGTCAGGACTGCTGCTGAACAGTGTGATCACAGGAAATACCCACAAAGACAGATGTCTTAAATAGCAGGACGTATTAACAAGGGGATTAATGAAACATGTCGGTGTAGAAAAAGGAGAATTTCCACTTACTACATCAATTCATTTAAAAAAAAATGTGTAAACTGCAAATGTTTCTGAGACGTCTGACAGCAGAAACTTAGCGCAGGTGCATTAGCTTGCAAAATAAAAATGAGATTATTTCATTAATACTTTCCTTTACAGCTGGCAGAGCTTGATAGATCGCAGCACCGTGCAGTGTTCAGCTGCTTACTAAGTCTCATTTTTTTAAATGATCAAAGAGCTGCATTAAACTTCTGGCTTCTTGTTGCTCTAAAATTAAGAATAAGGAAATGTCAGCCCCGGTTAAGAAGGATTTAGGCTGACAGTGAAGCCCACTAGATGTTTCCAGTACTGGAAAGCAGTAGAAGGAACTCCCAGTTAGTAGTAGAAGAATGAATCTAGGACACTGGCTAAAAAGATAAAACTGAGCAAAATAATTCACACCAGTCTTGGTTTTGCACAAGAGCTGTTGAACAACCCTTTAAAACAGGAGGTTGTGTTGATAAAAGGAATTCTGTGGATACAGCTCACTTCGATTTCTCAGAGGATTTACAGATACACCCCATTCTGGAGGGGATTCTTGGTCGCAGGTTTGTCGGTGAAACCTTTTTTAACATAAAAACACAGCTTTAAAAAACGCGTGGGCTTCTAGAGAGGTCTCAGGAACAGATGCCTGCTCCTTGTGGTCAACGAGATGATGATCATAAAGCAACAGAATAAGGCAGACAGGCATTAATTGCAGTCTTTAGTGACCTCAGAAATGGTTTTACTGGGGAAAACAGCAAATTAAGCGTGGATGCCGTTCCTCCAGGCTGGAGGCCTGCCTTGGGAAGCAGAGAGGGACACGGCAGGTGGTTGCCCAACAGGAGGTTCACATGCAATGCTGTGCAAAGAGGACCTCTGCAAGCCCTGGGTGCGTACAAAAGGGGAACTTCAGGCAGAAAAAAAGCTCGTGCTTCTGCACAGTGCTGTATGGTGAGCACGTCAGACCTTAAAGTCACTTGTGGGGCCCGTATGGAGGTGTTGCTGAAGACACCGAAGCAGTCTGTGGGGCAAAGGTGCACAGAAAACTGCTCTCACAATACAACCTGGAAGCAAACTCAGCTTATCAAAGACAGCGAAGCATCCCTTCGTTATCCCTGCATGTGGTCACGAGATGCAGAAATCCTTTTAGCTATTTTTTCCCCCAATTTTTATGACAGAGACAGGACAAGACCCAGCTGCTGGAAAGCGAAAGGCGAGCCGAAATAATGAATTTTCTAGCTAGAAGCTTAATGCAGCATTTAAATATAATAGCAGGGAAGGTCTAAATGTTTCTTGTTGTTCCTTGATTACAGAGCCAGGGAGCATTTTCCACCTCTCTCCAAAGTGCCAAGGACTGGCCCTCGCTGAACACGGGCCTCTGGCAGGAGGGATTCAAGAAAACAGAAAACTCTTACACGCTCAGTAAGTGTTACTCAGATTCATGCTGATTACGTTCATAATTTAGGCTGACACCTTTAATGACGAGGATTTATAGCAAAGTTTCGTCAGCCTTGAACAAACGATGTGCAAGTACCAGCATGATGTACCAATCTCTTGGGAGAAAGCTCTACCTGCTGCCTCCTGGAAAATAAAAGGCAATTTGCATCCTTGCCTCTTACGTAAGTCAACATCCAGCACAAATACATCAAATAATTTGATCTGTCAGAGAAAGATTCAATGAGCTCAGCAGCCGGGATCATCGTGGAAACCCCGTTATCACCTATATTTGCCAAGTGGCTCGCAGGCTGATCCGCCACTCACGGCATGCCCCAAAAAGCTTACGTTAAAATGAGTAAAAAAGGTTGTACAAAAGGCAGTATAAAAGGTTGTACAGAAATATAAAAGGAGTGTAAAAGGTTCTTTCAATGCCATCACATACCACTCGGTTCTGGGTCCCCCATGGCTGAATCCTTCTCAGCGTTTTGGTCTGAAAGCAGCAGAATCCCAAACTACCCAGCTTTGAATCGCGGCGGAATTAAGCAAAAGACGAATTCCTGGTCGGAGGAGATGCTGTGAGGTGATCCGGAGGCTGCATGTGAAGGGGACCTGCCCGAAACCAGTGGCAGGGGCGCCGCCGGTGAGTGTGCGGCCGCTGCAGCCAAATCTGCTTCCTGCAGACACGCTTCCGTGTGGGGAAACTGCACAGCACACATTTATTTGATCATCCCATTTGCATAACTCATCTCAGCCTTGGCACACGGCACAGAAAGGACCATTTTGGGGTCCGTTTTTCACGTATGCCCACGAACTTCGGAGCCTCTGCTGCATTGCTGAGTTTCACCCCAAAATGGTTCGCCACGGGTGTAGGATTTTTCACAAAAACGTGGCCACTGCTTTAAGGGGCTGTGGAGCTCATCCCAAAGGTGATGCCAGGCCACGAGGGGTGGGTTTGGGATGGGTGGGTGACCAGGAGATGGTGGAAAGGGGCCGGGGGGGGTCCTCCACCGCTCCTCCACTCTATTCGTGTGTGGTGTAAGAGTGTAAGGGAGCCTCCTCGAGATCACAGCCCGCCTCGGTTTTAGCCCAGTAAAACTGAAACCTAACCTTTTGGGGGTTGTTTCTTTAATAAAAACAAGCCCTGATTTTGTAGGTTTTTGACAAGCTAAGGAAAAAAATCTGTCGCTTGTATCAAGATGTTTTTCAGCCGGGGAGCATTAGCCCAGCAAAACTGAAACCTAACCTTTTGGGGGATTGGTTCTTTAATAAAAACAAACCTTGATTTTGTAGGTTTTTGATAAGCTAAGGAAAAAATCTGTCGCTTTTATCATGTTTTTCAGCCTGGGAGCATTCTCCAGACCCTGGGCTGGGGGGTGAGCCTTTACATCCCACCCATCCCCCTTGCTGGATGTTTTGCTACAAGATACTGATTTACCAAGTGCAAGAACCCAGCTAGCACTGCTGCTTTTAAAATCAGTTAATTTCACCTTAAATTTGGTGAGGATTTAGGGATGAAGCTGTGATGTGGGAAACAGAAAACGTTTATTCAAAGATTCAAGCAAGCAGAAAGTTTAAGGGAACTTTATCTTCTGCAAATATTAGTGTGAGAAAACGAAGGCAAAAAATGTGACAGCCAAAAAAAAAAACCAAGCTTGTGCTCAGCAGCGAAGCTATTTTTCTTGACTAAACCATGAATAATTAAAAAAGCTCTGTTTTCTTATGCAACCTGAACATATAATATTGATTCAAATCAGTTGAAATCACGGTGCTAAATCCCTTTTATTTTATCTTCCTTCCTAGCATGAGCTCTGGCCTCCGAGGCCATTTGGTGTGTGGAGCAGAGGAAAGCACTGCCCATTTTTGGGGACATTAATCCTAGGCTCTAGCTACTTGCAGGTAGGTAAAAAGGGGCAGGTTTCCTGCAAATCTGAGTGAAAACAGCATTTTTATAGTGCAGGGGCTAACTGTTTTTCACAAGTTTCTGTGGTTTTAAATACACAACTGGGGACACAACACATGACAGTTCCCCTAAGTCCTCCTCTTCCTCTTCCTCCTCCTGAACTCTAGCTTAGTTTTGTGATCTTCCTTTCTTTTATTGTTGTCTCTGGAGTGGGAAGTCCGATCCTACAGCTGCTGTGGCACGTTATGAACATTTTCATTTGCGCTCCCCAAAATCATTTCCCTTTCCTCAGCATCTGCTGGAGGCTGAAATAATGCCGCTGAATTTCTTCTGCAAAATTTCTCCCCGTGGTTGTGCTTTGTGGCAGACAGATCTGTAGGTTTCTCCCCCAATATTTAACATAACTAATAGCTAAGGCTGACCTTTCTATCATTAACAGTCTTTTAACATTAAAAACATAAAAATTCCTGGAATCCTTGAGTTACTGCTTCTGTGTTGAATTTTTCAGGCTCAGGTGGATGTGGCATGTGTGAACTCCGGTGATTTCTGCTCAGACTCAGGAATTAACGATTTACTTTTAAAAGGCAGCAGGAGAATGAGGATGCACAGCCACGGTGAGGTGCTGCTGGGATCAGCAGGCTGGCAAGGCGATGAGTTTCTCCTGTCAAAGCTTTCCAAGCTCCCTATATCCAACCCATGTAATTACAGGTAGGTTTACTCAGTGTAATTATCACATCCAGTTTGTAAAGGGCCGTATTTACAGATAAAAGCTATAAAAAGTGTGTCTGCAAAGGTATTTATAGCCAAAAGGGTTGCAACAGAGCATGTCAACATCCCCAGTCCCCGATTAATAAAAAAGCTAATAAAAGCTAAAAGAGGACAGGGGGGTGTGACTCCTCATTTTCCAGAAATACAACTCATGAGCCAAATTCCCAGTTTCATCACTCTGTCTCCCAAACATTTTTGCTGAATGAGTGTGTCTCACCCTTTTTTTTTTTTTCTTGTGTCTCGCCCTTTTTTTCCCTGTTGTAAGAGTAGGGATGATAAAACTCAAAACTTTTTTTTGCAGATCAGAGGAGCATAAAAGGGAAGCACAAGAGCTTCTGAGATAGGGCTCGCCTTCCACTTCCAAGGCAGCGTGGGGTTTTATAACACGGACATAATATAAAAAAAAACATAATAACATGGTCCCTTAGCAGCAATTTCCACTTGCTGGTGTAGGCAAATCACCATTGATTGTGGAGCAGAAAGCTGCTTCAGCTCTCGTGTTACTGAGATCCTCCAGAGCAGCCTGCAAACTCGTGCTGCTTGTCTAAAGAACTAATTTTATGAATTACTATTTTAGACCAAGTACAATGGCAAGCTACTACCGTGCACTCCGACAATACCCAGGAGCAGCCCACCACCAGATCTCATGAAACTTCCTTTTACGTCACTGCTGCTATTTTATAAGTCAAATATATTTTCACATTGGTAAGGCTTTTGAAGATGGGGGAGGAAAGGAACCGCAGAGTGAAAGCAGCTGTTCGGTTGGTGCACTTTCTTTTTTTTTTCCAGTTCCCTGATGAGAACCTCGTGCCAGTGCTAACTCTGCTCTGTGGGGCCCATACGGCAGAATATTGGGACAGGACATTCAGTATTCCCTCTTGAAGCTCACCTGGTCCCAAAACAAGGGCTAGAAACCATTGTGTTTACAACCAACTAGATTTCAGGTGAGTTTTTCCACTAAATTTAAGTATATCTGAGATCCCAATAAAGTAATATACAATGCAGGAAAAGAAAGAGCATTAAAAACTCATATTCCAAGAAGGTCAGAGTGGAGTAGAACAGTAATATTACTTATTTCTTCTTTTTATATATATATATATTAGTATATTAGTAATTATTCTTATTTCTTATTTCCTAGAGGCTGTTATCAGTATTTCTTTGTTAGTGTGTGGTGCCCTGGCGACCTCCAAGGGTTGTGTAAAGAAATTTAGAAGAAATTAGATTGACCCTACAGTTCTTTCCACTAGCACTGAGCAGAAGGCAGCGACTACAGCAGCTGTCAAGTTCTCTAAGGTTTTGGATTTACCGTGGATTTTGGTGATTAGGGTCGCTACGGCGGGCTGGATGGCATCCCCGGTCAAAGCAGGGTACGTGTTCAGGAAGGAGGAGATGGCTTGCAGGAGGTCTGCCAGTCTGGCTTCAACAGGGCCTGAAAAAACTTCTCCTAAAATCAAGAAGGGGGAAAATTATGATTTTTTTTGCATGCATAAACTCTCATCCTCACTTCTCCCAGGGACAAGTCGCATCAGTGGTGCAGCACAGGTACCCTGTTCTTCCTAAATACTGAAATTATTTGCAAACCAAAAAATAACAAACCCTGAAGACCAAACATCCTGGTTCCTACTGTGGGACTGTTGCACATCCTCATGTCTTTACATCTGAAGGGTTTAAGAGAAAAACCCAGCCCTGAGCTGAGCACTCGGATATTTGGTGAGGGAGAGGGAGCCAGCCCAGGCAAGCCCAATTTCCACGTTCAGCTGGCATAATTTGGGGGCTGTTAGAAGCAAGCTACGAGCACCACCGCAGCCAGGAGCTGGCTGGAGAAGCATCACCGACCTGACTCGTTCGGCGTGCCTGGGGTATGAGTCCTGCAGGAACGGAGCTGTTCTGGGAAGGAGGGAGGGCAAAAGTGCTGGTGTGCAGGGCAGGGAGGCACAGCACGTCTGACAAACCCCAGTTCTCTCAACAAAATCATCGCAGACACCCTTTTTTTCCGCCAGTTTAACTCACTTGCAAGTAATTGCAGTGCTGTCGGTAGCACTTGGGTATTTTTTTGCATTGCATTTGAAGGAAACTTGTGCATTTAGACGGCTAAGTGCTGCGAAATTTGATCTGTTGATGCAATTCATTACAGGAGAAGGCATTTGAATAATTAAATATCCATACAGAGAGAAGCCACCCTAAATTATCCGAGGGCCATCTAAATTCATGGTTTTAAATACTGCAGCAAGAACGACGCTGGGTTGCTTTTGCCCACGGTTGGGATATGATGAACGTTAAGCCGTAAGCAAATAAATGGATTTTTAAAGGTTTACCTTTTCGGAAGAGCTCCCGTAAGCTCTGAAATCTCCCATCGATGTCCCTCAGGTGTTTGGCGACGCGAGGCACCTCGCTGGCCATGGGGTCCCCACGGCTGCCCCGGTCTTCGGGGACAGGGCTCTGCACCGAAGCCCAGACAGCAGCCAGGAATTCGGAGTCGTGGCCAGGTGGAAGGATCCTGCTTTGGGGCAACCTGCCCACGGTCTGAGCAGCACCAGCTTCATCCCAGGCTCCTGTCCTGTTCATGGCACGGCTGCGGTGCTGTGCTTCCCAGTCCCCCGGGTGAGCTTTTTTTTTCTCAGGCTATGTTTTTGGGAGCAGATTCCCAAAGTCCTGCAGGTCCCGAGCACGCCTCTCGCTCATCGAAGGGAAGAGGAGCAGCATCCCGTAAATGCTGCTGGAGACACAAGATGAAAAACGTGGAGAGAGATGGAGGGGGTGCGATGACTTCCCATGCTCTCAGCATTTATTCATTTTCTGATCCAGGAGAGCTGTATCCAGCGGCTTCTAGGTTTCTAGCTTCTTCATCCTGCCAGGTTTTAATTACCGAATTTCATTCTACCCTTTTCAGCAAATAGAAACCCGAGTTTCGGAAACTTTTTCCTAGCAAAACTCGGAAATCAAAACAAGCCCCAAATATCCGTATGCAAAGGCGCCGCGTTTCCATATTGGTCTCTCTTATTTACCGTACTTTTATCTGCAAGTAAAAACGTTGTCTTGGGCAACCTGTGGAGAACATTTTCCACCTCTTCCATCGCCGGTCTTCGGCTGAAAGATGGATCAGGAAAAAACCATGACCTCTCCGAGGGAGAAACCTCTCGGCCATTTACTCCAAGTCCCGCAGCATCTCGGCGTGTGCTGATGGAGCCCCAAAATTTGTCCTCGTTCCCTCCCGGGGGCTGCAGAGGGGCTCCGGAGGCTGTGCTGTGTCCTACCCCGTGCCAACCCCTGCAGGGGAGCGGAGCTACGTGCCGTCTGCGTGGGGTGAGTCTGAAACCCCAGGCAGGTGTCAGCCGATGCGGATTTTCCACATTCCTCTCGGGAGTTATGAAATTACTCACTTCCCAGGCTATCTCTGCCATCTGTAGGATCAGGCTGATCCTCCCTACCTGGCTCTCATTAACTCTTTGCTCTCTAAAGCCTGGGGAGCATCTCTGAGATTCTGCACATTTCTTCCTAGGTTATGGGTCCAGTGCAGCGTGGCCTTTTGGGGGAAGTCTTGTGTGACATGAGAACAAGGTAAAGCAAGAATTACACAGCCTTAAAGTATAGCTTTTGAAGAGAATAGATATTTCTTTTTTTTAAGTGAAGCAAGAATTACACAGCCTTAAAGTATAACTTTTGAAGAGAATAAATATTTCTTTTTTTAAGTAAAGCAAGAATTACACAGCCTTAAAGTATAACTTTTGAAGAGAATAGATATTTCTTTTTTTTAAGTGAAGCAAGAATTACACAGCCTTAAAGTATAACTTTTTGTAGAGAATAAATATTTCTTTTTTTTAAGTAAAGCAAGAATTACAGTCTCACTGCAAAGTATAATATTTGAAAAGAATAAATATATCTTTTTTTAAGTAAAGCAAGAATCACACAGTCTTACTGTAAAGTATAACACTTGAAAAGAATAAAGATCTTTTTTTTTTTTTTTTTTTTTTTCTCCTTTTTTCACTAAAGGATACTTAGACACAACCATCAGCATTCAAATCCCTTTTGTTCTACACCCTGTACGTATAAACCATGAGCACAACACATGAAACCAGAGCTAAACGTCTTACAACGCCACGCAACGCTTCCATGCAGCGAATTGGTCGGAGTGATTTTCGTATCTGATGGAGCCTGGGAAATAATGGTGGTGGCTGATTGTTCCTTGCAGGATTTTTCTCTCACCTGCAGCCAGCCCTGGGTGCAGCGCTGTGTTCGCTCACCAGGCAGAGGATCTGTGGTCGATGTCCCCTCCTCGTTATCAGATCCCCGGAGCCACTCCTGCCCACGATGTGGCTTGAAGATTTGGCTTTGTTGGCTTCTGACGTAGTGCAGAGCCTTCTTGGTTATAAGACAGGATTGGCTCCAGCTCAGCTTTTGTCTAAAGTACATGCGAAAGCATCATGGCCAAAAAAAAAAAAAAAAAGAAAGAAATTGAAAGAAAAAAAAAATAAAATTGAAATTGAAGAATAGGAAGCAAAGCTCTGGTTTCTCTTTATTAGAATGATGATGTTAGCAGCACTTCCCAGTGCCAGCACCTTCACTTTCACAGTTGCTCAGTGGCCCTTTCTTGGCCTGTATATTTTTTTCCTCCTCAACACAATAAACCAAGAAAAGAGTAACTTTTGGTTTTGAAGCCAAAATAATAAAAATACCATGCTTAAAAAAAAAAAAAAAAAAAAAAAAAAAAAAAAAGTAGGGCTGGTAAAAGTCCCCATTTTATATTATTTTACGTAAATTTTGGTGTAGTGCATCCTTTTATTGCCATCAGAGTCCCATGGGGGCGAGAAGCACAACCTGACTGCCAGTTAATAGCCACGGTACTCACATGGGCAGCACTTACGGGTGAAAACATTGCCCTTTGCCTCCCTCTTATTTCTCCATGTTCCTTTATTTGTGATTTATTTCTTTTTTTTTAATACAGCTGTAAGCGTTTGCAGACGTTGCCCCAGGTAAATGGAGTCCTGCTTTATTACTGACCATCAGAGCACACTGGACAGAGGAGTTTCACTCATCCAGCAGCTGTGTGACCCGAAAGGACTCTCGGATTTTATTTGCATCCCTTCGTGCAGTGTCCATGTGCCACAGAGAATACAGGGAGCGTCCTGAAAAGGAAATACCCTTCTTGTTGTGCAGAACGCAGCGTCCCTCCCATCCATTTATTTTACAGGGCTTCTTCCCTCGCCTACCTGCCAGACTTGCTGGGTAAAGAGAAGGGAGGATTAAGTGAGAAAACGAGTTGAACGAGCTGTGCACATTACTTCCCAGGTCCTTCATGCAGCCAGTGAAGCTTTTTTAAATTCTCAGCTCACCCCCCAGGAATAGAATAGAGAACCCAGAAAGCAGCAAACGAACGAATCCCTTCCATTGTGCTGCTCCCTTCGGAGTCCTGGGTTACAGACAGGGGAGGGTGGGTGCTGCACGATTCCCTGCAGGCTCCATAAGCAAATTTTTGGCTACCAAGCATGCAGCCAAAGGTGTAAAACTGCCCTCTTAGCTGCTCAGAGAGTCACCTTGATACAAATCTGTTGAAATGGAGAGGACGAAGCAGAGAGCTGCTTGCCAAGGATGCGTGCTCAGGAAAAGCTGTGCAAGGGAGTAGAACACATTTGTCCTAGAACAATTCACCTTTCAGGGTACTAACGCAATTTTAGCAGATTTTTATAACACAGATGTTGGTGCTGCTGTTGAGAGGCAGCCAGGCTGGGGGCAGCAACCCAAGGGACCTCCCCAGCCAAGTCAGCCCCTACGAAGCCTCCTCATCCTCCCCTTTCCTCTCTTCATCCTTGGCCTCCGTCCTCTTGTCCACCTTGTACTTGAGGCGGCGGAGGGGGTCGGTGATGCTTCTCCTCACCCAGTCATCGAAATCCTCTGCCAAGAGGAAATTCCTGTCCACCAGCTCGGCAGCCTCCTGCCAGTTTCGGAAGCAGGCAGGGCCCAGGCGGCTGATCTCCTCCACGGCGTTCCCAACGATCACCTCCCCGTTCGGCTTCAGCACCACCACCCTGGGCACGTCGGACACGGCGAAGCGCTGCTCCAGCTCCCTGGAAAGGGGAAAAAAACAAAAAAACAAAAAACAAAAACACCCTGAGCTCCTTATTTCATTCATTAGGATGGGAAGAAAAAGGGAGGCTGCCAGACGCGCTGCGGGATTATGTGCAGGTCTTGTATGGTTAAGTGATGTTTGGCTGCTTGCTGAATATCTGCCTTGGGCAGAAGTGGCCTTTGGAAGCAAGACGGGATAAAAACCACCCTGCTCATTTGTTTAAGTGCTGGTAATTACGCAGAGCAGAGCCTTATGGAGATTTCTGCAGGGCCAATAAGAGGGGAAGGGATCCAGGTCTTTGGGATAACTGCTGCGACTCGTTTTACACGAGCAGCACACGAGCAGCGATAGCAGCAAGAACCCTAAAACCGTGACGTGCTCCCCTCTGAAAAGGAGCTGGAAATAATCCCGAGCATTAACCACAGCTCGCCCCGTGGCTAACGAGGTTACGGCGAAGCCCTGCACATCTCCCACCCGTCCCACCGCACAGGTCAGTGACCGCTGCCGTTTTTACGTGCCCTTCCCCGGGGGGATGCTTCACAACCGGAGCTCCTGGGACCTAGAGGCACGACCCTACACCGTGACCCTACCTCTTGAACCCGTCCTCGAAGGGCAGGGACAGCCACCTCCTGGGCATGGTCCTGAGGAAGGCGTCCTGCTGCTGGGCCGTGGCGTCCCGGGAGACGTAGACCAGGCCGAGCTGCGAAGCCCGCTCCACGTAGAACTCATCCGTCAGCCTCACGAAGAAATCCTTCAGCACCGGGGCGAACCGGCGGCACCGGGGGCACCCGGCCGCCCCGAAATACAGCAGCAGCACCTTGTTGTCCAAGGCCTGCCCCAGCTCCCGCTCGGTCTCCACCTCATCCCGCTCCCAGTTGTTCACCACCAGCACCTTCCCGGCGAACAGGGAGGCCATGGGTGGCCTCGGCGGACCTCCGAGACCGATTTACCGACCGGTGAGTGCCCGGTTTGTGCGGGCTGGGAGGATGCAAGGTGTCCCCCCCCCCTCCATGCTCCCAGCTATTAATAGGGGCGGATTGTGCCCAGCCTCCCGTGATCCGCTTACACCGGGAGGCCCCCGCTTGGAGGCCGGTCCCGGTGGGGACCCCTCTACTCTCTCGGGTCTTGCACAGCGCAAAAAAAAAAACACCGGACACAAAGGAGACAAAGCCGTTTTTATTCAAATTCACCCCAAAACAGCCTCCCCCCCCCACTCCCACAACCTCCCGGTGGCACCGGCACGGAGCCTCCGCTCCGCGGCGCTCCGGAGGCCGAGCCTCCGCCGCCCCCCCCCCCCCTTTTCCCTCCCCTTCCCTCCCCTCCCTGCCTTAACCAATGGCACCGTGAGCTGGGGGGGGGGAGCCCCCGCCCCCCATGGAGGCCCTGCCCCCCCCGGAGGCACCCCCCGGGCTCCGCCGGCTCGGTGGAGGCCGGGCTCGGTGCGGGGCAGCGGGGGGCAGAGGCTCAGCCTCCCTCCGCCTCCCTCCTTCTCTCCCTTCCCGGCCTCCCGTTTTTTTTTTCCCGTCCCCCCCCCCCCCCCAAAAAATAAGCAGCATGCAGCCGGTGGGGGTCTGCACGGCCTCGTTGGGCTCCCTGGGGCTGATGAGGTTCTTCGGGGTGCCCTGGTCTTGGAGCCTCGCCGCCACGCTTGGCGTCTGCCTGGGCAGCGGAGGATGGAGGCTGCTGCGCGTCCTCTGCAAGACGGCGCTGAGGGACCTCTTGTAAGTGCCTCCCGCTGCCCCCCGCAACCCGCGGGACGCAGCCCGCAACGCGGGGCGAGCGTTGGGTGCCAGCCTCCATGGGTGCCGCCGAGCCTCCGCTTTGCCAGCGCTGAGCGGAGGCAGCGTCCTCAACCCCACTTCTCAGCCCTCAAGGAGGAAGAAGAGCAGGGATCGGAGAGGCACGGCCCTAAACGGAGCGAGTTTAAGGGGAATTGTCCTGAGGTGCCCCCGAGGAGCGCGGTTTGGCCCCACGAGCGGTGGCGGGGTGATGGAGGCCGGCCTCAGGCTGGCAGGGTGATGGAGGCCGTGCTCTGTCACTGGTGGGATGAAAAAACGAGGGGTGTGAAGTGGTCTCGGGGGGCTTGGAGGTGCGGGGAGCCCGCTGCTGGCTGGTGGAGGGCTGCGGTCTCCAGGCCTCCGCGAGGCTGTGCCTCCATCGCGGAGGATTTCGGGGCTGCTGCCGCTGCCAGGGCTGCCTGGCTTTGCACCGCGCTTTGAAGAGCTGTTTCCTCCCGATCGCCCGGCCGAGCTGGAGAATAAAACCGGGCGAAAGAAAGCCCCTGAAGTATCTGGGAAGCGCAGCAAACCCCGTGAAAAGGCTCCTCTGTTCTGCCCTTGGCACGGCTCGGCGGCGGGTCACCGCGAAAGCCCCGCGGCCACTGCCAGCGACTTGCTGCCAAAAGGATCCCTTCCCCCTCCGCCAGGGTTTTGCTGCCCCCGCTGCTGCTCCCGGCACAGCCCTGAGAGCTGCGGGGGCTTCCGAGGGCTGATATTAAACGGCCTTTCCATTTTTGGGGATCTTTCCAACTTTTTATCGCCGCTATGAGACCCGTGATGTGCTCCCGCTGTCCTCCTTCGGACGGTGCGGGTGAATTTATTTCTGTGCCTGGCTTGTAACCGATAGCCGAAGGGAGGGAGCCGCCAAGTCCCCAAAGATGCCACCAAATCCCCAAAGATAGCATCCTCTGAGGGCATCGGAACGGCGTCCGTGGAGCGGCTGGAGCTCACACAGCAGCGTTGCCATCAGGCCAGAAGTGTGTCAAGGTTGAACTGGCAGCCACAGAGACTCGGAATAATTATGTAAATTACAGGAAGCCCCGTTAGATCAGCCTGCTTTGTGCACGGTCACTCTTCATCCCCACAGAGGCAGCGTTTTTTTTCTTTATAAGGCCTCTCCAGGCTGGGTTGTTTTGATTTTAATTGAAATCTGTGCTTTCTCTCTGGGTTCCCACCAGCCTGAACAGCATCAGAGGCTGACTCATGGGAGATGTGTGTGCGAGCAGCATGCTGGCAGCTCTGCCTCCTCCTAGAAGCAGCATGCCCGCGTGTCTTGGGGCTAAAAAGGGAGCTTTTGGCTTCATTTGCTTGAAGCTGAGCTCACAAGTTGCTGTTGAATGATCAGGTTGTCTTCATCATTTAATTACCTTCAGATCCCGAGGGGTACGACTACAAAACAGCACTAAAATGCTGAGTGTGCCAGCAGGAAGGATGCTTCTTTTGTAAAACATCACCTTTTTAGGTGAAAGCAGTGGTTGCAAGGTCCTTTTTTTTTTATAATTATCACGGAAGAGATCCTTAAAAGAAGGGCTTGTAATTTAGCCCCTCTGCTATTTTCCGCAGGCTTGTTGGAATTGGTATCAGCGTGTGGATTTTCCCTGATTTGTGGCATGGGAAGTTAGTTACCAAAATGCTAAAATAGGCACGTAATGCTAAAATAATCATCTTTGTAGAGCAGCAGCCGTTCAATGTCCCAGTTTCAGCATTTAGGGTTAAGCTGTCAAAGAGCAGCCGAATTCAAGTGGGACCCCCACATGGGGTACATGCATCCTGTCCTTTTCCCCTATAACATGGAAATCTGAGCGGAATATTGATCTGAAAGTGTCAGCCTTTAAAAAAAAATCATTTAATTTCAATATAAACCGAAGAATTTTACCAAATTACGCAGCAGACAGCCAAAAGCCATCGCCAAACTCGGTGGGGGTCCAGATAACACAAAGTGGCCCTGCAGAGGGAAGGACCCCAGCATGGATTTGTGAATCTCAGGTGTGGGTATCGGACTGCCTGAGGGTGTTGTAATTCCTGCTGTGCCTTTTCTTTCTTTGCAGCGGCCTCTCGGTGCTGTTACGAGTCAAATACAAGCTGCGAAGGCATCAAAGGGCCAAAAGCACCATTCCGAAGATGTTCCAGGACGTCGTCCGCCGGCACCCCGACAAAGTGGCCCTGATTTACGAGGCCACCGGTGAAAAGTGGACCTTCAGGGGGCTGGACGAGTACTCCAACGCCGTGGCCAACTACTTCTACCAGCAGGGCTTTCGCCTGGGGGACGTCATCGCCATCTTCATGGAGAGCCGCCCCGAGTTCGTGGGCCTCTGGCTGGGCATGGCAAAGGTTGGCATCGAGGCGGCTCTCATCAACTTCAATTTGCGCTTGGATTCCCTGGTTTACTGCGTGACGACCTCGGGTGCGAAAGCCGTGATCTTCGGAGGAGAGCTGTCTTCAGGTGGGCTGTGATCGGCTCGCAAGCTGTTTGCTCGGGCCTGGGAAAGATGATAAATCTTGGGAAAGGTGATAAATCATCGTGGGAAAGATGATAAACCTCCTAATGGTGTTAAAAAGCAGAAGAATTCAGTTAGTACCCTTAAAAGAGGCTAAAAGAGGAGCAGAGTTGCAGGACAGGCTTGTCAGATGCAGTTTTTAAAACCCAATTATTTATTTTCCTGGCTCATCTGTGTGAAATCACCACGGATCATGACGTGGTGAGCATGCGGAGGGGCAATTTTGCACCTTTTTTTATTTTTACTTCCTTGATGCAGGTGGTATCTGGATAGGTATGATGTAAATATTGGAAAGGGGTCCCCGGTTCTTCAGGTCCTTCCATGGCAGTGATGTTTTGGGGCAAAATAGGATGTTACGCGGATTATTTTTGCCACTGCCTCGAGGGCTGTGCTTGTTGCGAAAGAGCCTTGCTTTGTGTTGCAGCAATATCCGAGGTGAACGGGATGCTGGGGAAGAACATGGCAAAATTCTGCTCGGGGGACTACAACCCAGAGGTTGTTCCAGCGGAGACCCGACATCTCGATCCTCTTCTGAGCACTGCATCCAGATCGCCCCCAGCTCAGATCCCAGTCAAAGGTTTAGATGGTAATTTCATGAGTGATTTTTATTTCTCAGCGTGACGCGTGTAAGAGCTGGGCTAGGTGAGAGCAAAGCAAGAAAACGAAGCAAGTAAAGACAGAGGGATTAAATCAACCCACTTTGGGGTCAGAAATAGAAGAAGGGGGGAAAAAAAAAGAGAACAAAAACTAAGACCTGGGTCCAGGGTATTCTGATTTCCCAAGACTTCCAAACTTCACCTGCTGAAGGTGTCTAATACCTGAAAGAAGGGGATGGATGCATTCCCCAAAACAACTTCTGATATGCCTGTGCGGAGGATGCGTGTCGGTGGTTTTGTGATTCAGGAAAGGGAAAGGAAGAGGCCAGCTGGCCTCCAGTCTGTATTTAAAGAGAGCGAAGCACCTCCGAGATCGATGAGGATGAGATTCCCTTTTGGGACTTCATGTTCTGTGGGAGGAACGGTGCTGCGAAGAGGCCTGGGGCATTTCTCCCTTTAGATTTTTTTGTCATCAGAGTCTCAGATGCAGGGTGAGACCTTTCCTGTGGGTTGGTTTGGAATTAGTGTCTGGCCTGGAGCACTAATTGAGTTCCACGGCAATTTGCTGCCTGTTTACCTCGGTGGGTGACATTCAGACCCTCTGCTCGGGTGCAGTGGGACTTCAGTGTCCACCCCCAGTGCTGTCTTCGTTTCAAAGCCTTTCTCTGTCTGCTAGGAACAAACCCTAAAACACCTTTTCTCGAGGGGTTTTCTCAGGCAGCTGAGAGCAGCCTGCCTCACACCTCTCTCCGTTCTTCCAGACCGGCTCTTTTACATCTACACTTCGGGCACCACGGGGATGCCCAAGGCTGCCATCGTGGTGCACAGCAGGTGAGGACCTGGGGGGGCCCTTCCCTCTCGCCGTGCTTTTCCCGTAGAAAACCCCAAATCTTTACCCGTCTCGTGGCCTTAGCCTGTGCCGTGTTCTTCCAGGTATTATCGCATCGCTGCCTTCGGCTACTACGCCTACAAAATGCACCCGGAGGACATCGTCTACAACTGCCTCCCCCTCTACCACTCTGCAGGTAATCCTCCTTCTGTTCCTCCTCTGTGGCAGAGGGGTTGTGTTGGTCCCCCCGGGCCTGCTCTGGAATCACAGAATCACAGAATTGTAGGGGTTGGAAGGGACCCCCAGAGACCATCAGGTGCCAAAGCAGGTTCCCTAGAGCAGGCTGCCCAAGGAGGCGTC